GGGGCTTACCAATCCTGACTGGGCCCGTCGCCGTGGCAAAAACGCTTACGATCGTCTCAAGAATGTCGGGGCATTGTGGCATTTCCTGTGGTTTTTCCCCGCTGTTGTCCGTGTGCAGCATCTGGCTCGTGCGCGTATACATTTATGCGTTGTTGCTCATGTTGAGATGAACGCCGCGGCGACGTATGCCACCGGTGCCGGGAGCCGGGTGGAATGTGCTTTCATAAACATTCGAGCCGTGGCCGGCCTTCTTCGGCGCCGAGAGAACGCCCCCGTCTGCCCAGTCCTACTTTGATCGACATGTCATTAAAGAATACCGCAGGCAGCAGGTTCTCTTCTCTGGCAGTTTCTCTTCCTTGGAATCATCAGTCAAAAGTGTGGACAGTTCCGGTCCGACGTCCCTAAGCGGAAGAAGTGTGACTCGGCGAGAACCGGCGACAAACAAGACTGCCGATCCGGGTGTGTACTCCACTGTCCCCATAGTTCCGGGTTTAAACGTTGGGCTCACCGGCACACATTCCATTGGAGCAAAACTTGGCCAAAACTCGCAAAAGTGAATTCCAAGGGTTGAGAAGCGTCCTAGACATCCAACTCAAAAGATAATGATCAGTGGGAGGCTTGAACTCCCGGCCTTGGCATTACAGAACATTTCTGATGAAATATTAGTACCACGCTCTAACCAACTGAGCTAACCGACCAGTTGCTGTTAAGATCCTGAAGCCCTAGTGGTGTCTAGTTTGGATCCACTGCGTGATTTGTGTTCAAAGTTGCGGCTCCACACACTCCAACGGAGAAGAATATTAAAATAGCACAGTCCACAGGCAGTACGAGGTAGTTGGCTTATCTGACCATCAATCTTGATGCCTGAGTTTGAGCTGATTGGCTTGATGGCACATCAGCTCTTCAATGCTTTAACTTGGACACTTCACAATAGATCGCGGGTGTTGCCTACTGACAAGTCTGGCACGCCCCAGGCACATTGACCAAGGTAGTAATCCAATGATGACCATGTCTATGTCGTCAACCTATCTATTGGTTGATGAGCCCATGCAGCAGTATGTGGCTACAGGCCGGTTTTGTTCAGGATGTACATGTAACCCCCGATCAACGCGCGCAGCTTGAACCCAGAAGACCAAGATTACTCTTTCCAAAGGGCCAGCTGGGACTCTCAAGATCCAAAACTCAACGCAGGCACTGGCTATAGTACTGATTCGAGACTTTGCAAGTTCCCTGAGAACAGGTCGTACCGCCAGTCCATCCTTGACCGCCGCACTGCCCATATAAAGCCACAGTCTTGCTGCCGCTGCTTGACGGAGGAGAGCTCGATACAGGAGCGGAGCTGGGAACAGCAGGGGACCCATTGCCACTTCCAGAATTTCCAGAACCTGAACAGCTAAGGACCGGAGGGCCCGGGATCTTATATGAGCGGCCGCCGTTTGTTGGCTTGCCAGAATTATCGTAGATGTTGATAAGAATGCCTGGGTCGGTCGCGGAGTAGGCGCCGGGAAACTTGACAGTATTGGAGCCGGCATTGGTGCCTGAGCCAGTCACTCGAATTCTAAAGCACTTTGTGTTAGGAGTCATCAACTCTCTCCAGACCTTATACGATGTGGTTCCAACTTACTGGGCGCATTCCATATAGAATTGGGCCTCTCCCTGTGTTGAGGCAGAGTGAAGGGCAATGATCTCAACGCGAAGTAGGTAGTCCCCAGGAGCTACACATGAGGGGAGAGTGAAGTAGTGCCAGCCATTGTTTGCTATCATGGTGTCAATTGCCCATGTACTTCCGCTCAGGCCGGCTTCGGCAATCTTGAACCAAGTGAGGCCCGTCGTGCCAGTGCTAGCAGCGTTGCTGACTTTGGCTAGGTAGACAACAATTGGGCCTGTTGAAACATCCGGGTCAGTACTTCTGTACATTCAGGATTCGAAAAGAACATAATGCGCCCAGAGAAAGTCGAGGCTCAGGGTCCCACCTTTATGGCTTGCCGCGATGGGATTATCGGCGTCGTTTGTGCCTTGAGCACCTCCGATGACGTGCCCCCACCAAGCACCGATCTTTGCACCAGCGGCGATGGACACAATATTGTTGTCCTTGTACTGGATGTTGTTGTTGCAGGCGAAACCGGCATCGTTGACATTCTGAATGGGGTTGTTGCTTGAAGGTGCTCGAACCCCCTTCAATGCTCCTTGGTCAACTCCATTGATGGAGAGCTTCTGGAAAATTGTATGCCCAGACACGACGACAGCAAGGCTGAAGAAAACACTTGAGAGTCTCATGTTCAAAACTTTTGCGTCGTTGATCTCTGGTCGAAGCTTGGTATAGCGGTTGGTCGATACTACATTCAAGCTCAATCTGTGGATGATTGGCCGTTCTTATAGACGCATATTGGAACTATGTCAAGCCTGCAATGGCCACATCCTCCAATTTGGTGGATATTGAAGGGAGATACTCATTCCAAATGCAATATGTTGTTGAGTTTGGCGGCATCTCATGAGTCTCGAAATCTCTTGCCTGGGTAATATATGCCATACAAGCCAGGGGGCGTGAGGCAGTGAGACTCGTCCGGGACTGCAACCGAGTTTTGGTAGCTGCGCTTACCCGCGAGGCCACAACGCCTTCTTTGTTCTAGCCCATGTCTTCGGATACCTCTTCTTGATTGCAATCTGAGGTTTGTATCCCTTGATGCGGCGAAGGGAGTTGTACCCTGGCAAGCATGTTTGCTTCTTACAACCTCGCTTATATCGTTGGCAGCTCTGGTCGATCCGCTCGGGCCCCGATCCACAAAGTCGGGACACCGGAAGACAAGCGAGTACTTCTATCAGGACTGAACACCTGTTGAGCATCGCTTAATTGTGGCTGTTAGAAACTGAGACTAGCGGCTTGCTGTCAAACTAAACCTACAGATGTCAGGAACCATCATGATGGATCGGACCCGCCACTGAATACGGAGATCGAGCTTTTGAACTTCACTTTCCATCACATTCTCGAGTCTCTGCTCAGTTAAGAAGCTCTCTCGGATCTATTTAACCCTAATACTTTGACTTGCCTGCCTGCTGGGCGCAACGAGGCTACCGTGGCCAACATCCACGAGCCAGGCAATGGAGTCACGCTGTCACAGCGCTGATTTATGGATCAGCCATACGTAAAAGCCTTTGCGGTTGCGAACCATGTCTTTGACGAGGTGCTTTAATTAAGATGGCCTATGGGTGTCGCGCTGGATGCCATCGGTCCTTATCCTAAAGGGTCCTCTTTCGACTTCGTCATGGAGGCTCACCCGAACTACCTTCTTTCTCGGCATGGGGCTTTTCTCGGTTCCATTTGCCCCACCCCGCTGTTATGACCGGCGCGAAGGGGGGCGCGATCGGTGACCGGCCGGCAGACGGAGACCACATTTTACGAAGAGGCCGAGAAGGCAAAAGTTCGAAAATGTGCAGTCTAGTCTGTGTTTCAGACTTGCTTCCTCGCGTGGAGCAACCAATGATTCCGAGGCTCTCGGGCGCAGATGACTTCAGCGTCGAGAAAACGACGGGGATAGCCTAGACTGAGACGAGAGTCTACCGCCATTTCTCCAATGTTCAGTACCTGGTCAATGCTGGTATTAGAGTATGCCCTGACTCCCACATGGCTTTAGAACCTTGACCTCGAAATAAGCTTTACTCGCGTCTCTTGATATGTTTAGCAAGTTTGCCTACTCGTTGATGATCTCCAGGATTACCACAACCAAACTAATCAGGAAAGCTGCTAGGTCTTCGAAAGTGAGTCGAATTAAGTTGTGGGCAAAATGCATAGTCCATGGGAGTAATCATCTACGGTACTTAGTAGCTTGCGAGACGTAGCTTCGCGATGCAGAGGGCCCCACTGTCATCAAGCCATCAGAAAGCCGCAGCCCCAATGAACGAGTTGCTGTTTAGGTGACGCTGATACCCGCCATTTTCCCTCAATGCTGGAGATCGAAGGCACTCAATTCACACTCCGGGAAGCGAGCACTCAAGAGGGTCTAGACCTTAGGTGCTGTCGATCTGATGAGCTGGCTATGGGGTACGTAATGAACTATCATCTTGGCGCTCAATGGCTCTTTGTAAAACTCGCGGCTAGCTGGGCAGAATGTAGAACCGTGTCTTGTCTTGGAATGAACAAGATTAGTAGGATGCTGAAGCGAGCTAGGCCAACCCCTCTTGGTTGTGCTAGTCGTAGCCAGGAGGTGCCAGTCAACGTCTCGGAACGTCTGATCAGGCGGCTAAACGAGCTCGGAGCCTTCCCCGGCTTCACGGCATTGCGACACTAGTAAGTTGCCTATTGCGAGAAACGTTGTTCTTGTTCTTCGGATTCTGACATCTGACATCAAGACAAATCACTGGCCATGTCCTCGGAATCGGTCCGCAAGTAGACACCCCGAACAAGTGCTGACGTTGTTAGCTCAATATCGCTTCTGGACTAGCTCCGGCTCCCGCGTCTCGCTACATGAACTGGCGATCGTGGCTGCCGCGGCTTTGAATGTGTTTCTTTGTCGATGTCAGAATCGATGGCTTTCCGGGAACCCGGATACCTGGATCGACTGCCGTTTGCAGCAGGTTTTCGGTCCCACAACGCTTTGTAATTTAGTCATCGGTTCATCCTCCTTGGTTTGGAGACTTTGTTCCGCCTGAAGGAAACGGCGCCAGGCCGAAGAAACTAAGTTTGCTTTCACCCAACCATGTAATCGGATGATGGGGAATGGGCTTACCCTCAGACACGCAGTTCTGCGACCTATCGCCTGTGGCTGCTCAGGTCCGTGAGACAATGTGCGTGATCCCGTCCTTCTTTCTAGAACAAGGTTTCGAGTTTTACTCTTTTCACTTACTGTCTGCTGTACCTACTGTCCCCCTCACTCTCCCCAAAACCATCAACCCATTTCTCGTCGTCCCTCATTACTGTACCCACATTGGCAGAATACGACCGTATACGGGCATGTAATGTTTGTTCCTTGCCTCAATGATCGAATGACACCACGCCTGCGCGTATGATGTACTTGTTGTACAAAACGATAACCCGAGCGACGATACCACCGTTTCCCATACTACCGCGCGACGTCGACCCCTCTGACGATGTCGTCGATAACCACGACATTAGCGCCATAATAGTAGCAACAGTGGTTCCGACAACCATCATATCTACGTTATTCGCGTTTGCGCGGTTGTACGTCAAGGGATGGATCCAGCGCCGGATTCAATATGACGACGGGATTCTTCTGGCAGCGGTGTTGGCGGGATGGACGGCGACTGGGACGACGCTGAAGGCTGTCGCGCTCGGCAATGGGAAACACGTTGGTATGCTCACTGATGAGCAGAAAGAAGAGACACTAAGATGGACAATATTTTCATTTGGCTTTGGAATCATTGCGCTGGCTTTGCCGAAGCTCGCCGTAGTGGCGCTGATGAACCGACTACTCAACCCAAGACGACTTCACCGACTTTTTCTTTGGACACTGGGCTTGTTATGCTGCGTCGGATTGCTCGGAAATGTGATTGGGCTCTTTGCGGAGTGTCCGCAAGAAGCTGTGGTGAACATCACGTACACAAAAACCGCCTGTCTAGGCCCAGAGAGAGCGGTTGCATACTCAATATCAACGAGTGGTGGGTTTAGTTCTATCGAAATAGCGCCGGACGTAGAGCGGATTAACTAACCAGCGTGACATATCTAGGCATATCCGCTGCTACGAATGCTTATCTCGCCATCTACGTGGCACTATCCGTTCGGAGGCTGAAGATTGCACGAAGAAAGAGGCTGGCTATCACGATCTCTCTTGTTCTGGGTCTACTGTAAGTCAAGCCGGGCACCGACATGCCTCTCTAGCACGACCTGGAGACTCTTGAAGCCGTATATGAGACAATGAAGATATCGGGAGCTAACTTTTACACCAGTGCATTGTTTACCGCCTTATTCAAGTGCACAAGACTAAAGTCCCTAGGAAGCCCCGACTTCACTTGTGAGTAGGACTCTACTTCTGATTGGCGTACGTGAGGGCTGATCATTGGATACAGACGACTCAGCGGACCTTGTAATATGGACGAGGTAAGGCATCGATGATACGACCCAAGAAATGTCTTGAAGAACGAGATGAAAGCTCAAAGATGTCTTGAGGTTCAAATCCAGGTAAATTAAAGATAGCTGACGTTGAACATAGTCTTGAGGCAGACGTCGTCATTATCGCCGCATGTATTCCAGCACTACAGCCTCTGGTCGATCATCTCTTCCCAGGGCACTTCTCAACGCCGATGCCATCTCCAACTATCCCGGCTTCACCGACCTCTACCGCCTCGAGAAGGAAGCTATGGCCTGGTCCCATATGTGGCGACCTTGAGGCCGCAAGAGATTTCAGCCTATCTCCACAGGGTCTTGAGATGATCATGATCGAGAAGGAATTTGAGATTGCCTACAGCAGAACTACAGTGAAGAGATCCTGCACATCCGATACATGGGTTTCGGAATTGCCGGATGAGGAGAAGTTCAGGATAGTAAAGGATCATGGGCCCGATGGGTCAATCACGACGACGGTGGTGGTGAGATCTGCAACTCGTCCACCGGATCATCCGGCTTTTCCGCCTCAATGACGGCACGGGTGATGACAGATAACGAAAGACCAATACCCTTATATGTACTTAATGATCAGAGTAGCGATTAGCTCACATTTATGTTAGAGTTGTGGCAATGAAACAAGTCGGGGTGCGACCTTCAGACGATATTCCCGTGTAACGTTCTCTTCTCCCTTAACAAAGTTCAGTCGCAACCAAAATCTCCTCTACAGCAACCTTACATGAAGTGTGCACGACTGAGGCTGAGAAATCTTACTGCATGTAGTCGTTTTCACTGCCTAGAGTTGCGCCGCCCTACTCTGCATTATACGTTACTTGGACACTTACACATCAGTGTAGAGAATGAACCCGGGAATTTCCTCTCCGCAAACCATGTATGTCCAAGCTGCGCTAGGCAGGTAGTCGAAGAACGTTGCCAGGCGCGCCCCGTCCTCAGGTGCGAAAAGCGTCCTGTCCCGCTCGCGCTCTTCCGCAACTTTGGACGGCAGCGACCAAGCCAGGAAGTGGTCCCGTTCTTTCCCCGGCGGAAAAGCCCTGTCCAAAGTGTAAGTGACTGTATAAGAATCCGAAACCGAGGTTATCATGCTTTACTCACAGAGAATTACCGAGTGCTCCGTGACACAGACAAGGCTCTTTACGCAAAAGGCCTTCCTTCCAGATGAACTCTCTGCCAAGTTGAAGAGCTTTGCCAATTTTTTCCTTCAAGCCTGGGAAGAACTTCTCAAGGTGCACGAGCGAGAGAACAAACCCAGGCGCTCCATGGCAGAATTGAGTAAGACCCTCGTAGATGGTATTACCTGGGTCGTCTTTCGTCTCCCAATTACCATTTTCTCGCTGTACTTCAAGCATCCGCTTAAGTGAGCCCCGGATAATCGGGTTCTCCGCAAGCTTCGGATCTGTCAGTATGAGTTGGGTCAAGATGCCAATGTCACCGTGGACGGCACCGATATAGCGCTTCCCGCGCCACGTCCATAAGGGCCCTGCGCCAAGTGTCTTTTCGACGATTCGGACTTTAGCGGTGTTAAGTTGACTTGCCGTTCCCGGTCTCTGATGTATGCTGTTGTCAACTTCACGTTGAGAATGAATAAAAACCCGCAAGTCGGACACGTACCGCGGACTCGACGGCGCGGATCATGTACAAGATACCAGCATAGCCGAAAAGCAGCTCATATGGATGGTCGTCTTCGTCGGCAAGCCTTTCTAGCACTTCTCGTAGCTTTGGCGCCTTTGATTCGTCCAGGATCGTCTGTACCGCCCAAAAGGCAGCGCTTTCGCATGCGAGGCCACAAGGCGCTGAATCTCCCGCTTCACGCTCGGCCGCGATATATGCGGCTGCCCAATCTTGGAGTGACTGACTCTGGATTCTGATTTCGGGATGAGACTCATGGACTCTAAGCAGTAGATATGCCAAAGACGTCGGACCGCGGAAAAGGCCTCGACATTGTTCTTTCGTGTATACTTTCAGAGGGGGATGAGCTTGAATGATCTGTGCCAACAACTCTTTGACACGATCCTCTGGGTTGCCTACATGGCTGAACGGAGCATAACTCTCCAAAGAAGTTGGGGTTGGAATGAAGCGCGGCGTATCTAGAGACATGTCGATTGTAGATGCCTAGTAACTAAGGACCTTATGCTTGTATGTAGACTTCTCCCAAAGCGCTTTCCTGATAGTTGTGCGCCGCTCAACTCTTTGTTGTGTTTAAGAACTCTTCTCAGCATGTATCGCAGTCCTTGATGGTAGTAGTAGGTAGCTGACTCTTTCCTGAAAATATGTAACTTATCAGCCAGGCAGCAACGCGGGGATTCAGGAATGACGTCAAACTCATGCATGTGTTTGTCAGCATTGCAGATAAGAGTAAACGTTGTCTAGAAAGTCGTGTCAAGCCTCGAATAAGTTGTTAGTTATTGACAGCCATAAATTGAGGTTCAGTCTCATCAACTAAATGCGAGGACCAAACCTAGTAATAACTCGTCAGTGCCACATCTGCGCAGTAATTTGAGAATACTTGACTACACTAGGATGTTTGGGGCTTGGACAAACCAACGGGCCATGTTATTCGAGATATGTGCAAGGGAAACTCTGAGTTGTCACCGTCTTGCAGTGTCGCTCAATATTCAGCGTAGTCACCAGACGTCAATCATCAACGATGCCTGCCTACTTGACTCAGCACGTCGTGAGTTGTGGTGGTATCCACGGTCAAGACAATTTGTATGCACTCTCTCTCCATGTTCTTTATAGACTCATTCATCGCTGATAAAAGTGTTTACATGTCTACTCACCTATACAAGGCAATGAAATATAGTTAGTGTTAAGTTTCCAGATATACATGTAGTACCCAGTTTGCTAGAGCCTCAGGGAAACAACAGCGTGGAGAACCTTTTCTGCCGGCAACCCCCTGAAGCCTCAGTTAGGAATTAAATCAAAGCCTCCAGAATATAGTACCTCAAGTTGAGATGCCATGACGGTCTATCATGACGATCTCGATCAGTGATACATCCTCCCACCACTCATATAGCCACAGCGTTGATCACTTTGATATGATTTTGGCTTTTTCAAAGTTCGACCGGTAAGGGTTCCATACCCGTAGCCCTTCACCGTTACATTGGTATCATAGCCATCCTGAACAGCTTAGTCGGGAACAGCTATGGCCCATGAGTTCCTCTTGAAAAATCCAAGACTCTCATGTTGCCGATGGTCCGCCCTCAAGTCTTGGCGTAGAACATTCATTGCCCTGTTTCATGCCCCTTTCTATTTACTTGGTAGAGTGCCTCCGTTCTAATACAACTTCCGGCCCCTTTTGTTCTCCCTCTTTCCCGGGCTTTTTCAGGAAATCCCACCAATTGTCCATGCATTTTTCTGATTCTGCGGTTCCACCAAGGGGTGCAGTGGATTGCCGGTGGGTGTCGCCAACTGCCGCAGGTTAATCAACTCAAGGGCATGATTGGCGACCGCAAGCCTGTCATTAGTGGAGAATTGGCGGAAAACGGGGGCTGCCACGCGGGCAATTGATTAAAAAACGGCGGAATTCTGCTTGTCGTCGATCCATCTGACACTTTAATCTTGATGTCTAAAACATGCGATTGATTTCGAGAGGGAGTCCCAAAAGACGTTTAAAGGTCTACGCTCGGAAATTCGGCTTCGACCTCTGAGCAGCTTTGCGCACTTTGGTACCAACACAACTCCGCGAACGGCATCACTCGTCCGGCTGTAACTCCACAATGTTTTTCACGCACGCCATTATTGCAGCTCTAGCTACTAGTGTCCTGGGACATGGTGTTGTTCAGACCCCAGAGCCCAGAACGGTAGGCTCCGAGACCATGTGTGTCGCGCACTGAAAGTTGGAGCTAACGAATTGGTTGCAGACTGGCGCCAAGCAGGAAGAGCTCTGCGGAGCAGCAGTGACCAAGAAGCTCGACAGCGACATCGCCGGTCCCATCGAAAACTCCCTTGCGGTGGCGGATGCCGACTACAAGTGCAACTTGTTCCAATGCCGTGGCTACCAGTACGAGGATAATGAGGACAACGTTCGCGTCGTCAAGGCCGGCGAAGTCATCCCTTTCCACATCGACCTTGTTGCTGGACACAGACCAGGACACGCCGTAAGCCAGGCCCTGCGTATCAAGGAGAGAAGTGCATGTACTGACGTTGACAACAGAACGTCTCCGTGATCGACCTTGCGAACAACACCATTATCGGCGAGCCGCTCATCTCGTGGTCTGACTGGCCCACCACCGACCCCGACCCGTTGGCCGACAGTAAGTGGATACAATAACCAGTTTAGTTGCGCGCGCTTCCTACTAACGAGCATGCAGCTGACTGGAACATCACCATTCCCGATACCCTTGCCTCCGCTTGCGACGTTGGTGGCAAGTGCGCGATCCAGTGGTTCTGGTACGCCGAGACGAACAAGCAGACTTACGAGAGCTGCATCGACTTCTACATTGGCGCGTAGGTTTAGATTGGTGTGAGAGACACCTCCGATGGTGCAAAGCACATTGACGACTTCATGTTGTACATATTTTTCCCACATACTGCACCTAGCATAGACCAGTAAATACAAGTAAAGAACTTTCATAGATACCTTCCTACACCTGAACGCGTGACTCAGTTCGCACTGTGTCTAATTTTACAAGGTGGAATGAGGGAATCAGGGGCGGCAACGAAAGGAATCTGTTCTAGACTTCAATTATGCTTCCAGAAACCGGTCTTCTATCACGCGACGCCTGGTCCGAGACCGTTCTGCAAAAATGTCGGAAGAACTTACAAAGTGCGGTGCAAAGGCCAGACTGAATCAAAAACTTCGAGTCAATTCCGGCCCGATCAAAGTCATCCGGCTTTAGTCTAGCCCGCTTCTCGGTGATCCGCCGCTACAACGGACTCGTCTTCGGCCCGTAGTTAGCGCTGAGTGGGGTCCAGGGGCCGTGGAAGACCTCGGTTTCAGCCGGCCCCGCACTCAAGATGCCGACAGAGCTGCCCGAGCTCAGGTACTCTCCATCAACAATAACAAGAGGTTCGAGAAGCTGTCTACTTTATCCAAACATTTGCATCTGACCCTCAGTCGCAAATAGCCCATTTCTGACCTGCCAGATTCCCATAGTAGCTTGATCACGCACGACTGCTAGCCGAAATCATGTCCCAGGTACCATTCGCAGATCCACCATGGCTGAGAGGCTTGCCCTCACCATACTTCAACGATTCACATCGCAGATTTCAAGTCGCCTGCAGAAAGTTTCTCGACGAGAACTTGCATAAGGATGCTATGGAGTGGGAGACAGCGGAAGACGTACCAACTGATTTATTCGAAAAGTTCGCCAAAGGAAACTTCCTAATTCCGGCATTGCCGGCGCCTTTACCTGTGGAATGGCTGCACAAGTCGGGTGTGACGCATATGCCTGGGGAGGTACCAGTAGAAGAATGGGACGCATTGCACACCATGATCTACTCAGATGAGGTGAATTGCCTTTCAACCTCTTTCTCCTAAGTCAGGCTGACAGGCTGGGATGCAGATGAGTCGTTC